GGCTTCATCGGGGAATATCATACAGACTTTGTTAGGGAACACAATTCCACATCGTCTAGACTTCAATTGGGGATTCTATATTGACTTCACTAGGGGAGATGAAACCACACACGTCGAGGGGAGCTCAAATACATTCTTCAATATCAAGAGTAGTGGTTGTGCAAACTTCTCTAGGGAAAGTTTATGAAACTTCACGAGAACAATAACTTTAGAGGGAAGCATCATCTTTGATTCATCTAGGGAATTAAGAAGCTAACATCATAATAAGAAGTCAAAATTATGGGGATTTTAAATCAAACTAAACACTTGGCGAGAGAAAACCCAAAAAGTTGACGGTTGTCTCAACACTTCTCAGAAAAGATACTGCCAGTATCTGGCTACTTGGGGAGCACTTAACAACAACAATGTCATAACTGGAGAGAGCAATGCTCTGCGAGAGATTCTACATCAATTCTCAACATACAAAAAAATGACTCCATAAAATGAGCAAAGGCTTCATAAATTTACAATCTTCGCTTGATCACAACCTAGCTAGGGAAAGAACCACACTCAACTAGAGAAATCTGCATCAAGACCTGACTAGGGAATATGGGATAGAGGTATCAAACCACCCAAATCTAAAACCATATAACAATATGGAGAAAATATGAATCAAGACTTAGCTGGGGAAAATGGGATCACAAACCCAACACTGCACCACATATCAATTGGTATGAAATCCAACTATCTAAGAAAACAATCACAGATAAACTATGCACATATTAGCAATTGTAATCCGGGATACTTCTTGGGGAATCTTTTCATTCGAAGTTTGTCCATCCTCGGAACCACTACTTTTGTCCCACTTGAATCACAAAATTGAAGTAAAAAGTAATTTGCACATTCTTTTCAAAAATATGTTTTTATTATTAAGTCTTTTTGTTTTGAAAATTACTATCAATAATAAATAAATTTTTTGTAAACAGAATAAAATAAGAACTACAAAGAATTGGATAAAGGCTAAAACTTTATTAATAGAATGGTAGTCTGCAAATGGAGTGACTCCATGGATGATTACAAAGTTTTGGAAAATGGTAAATACATGGAAAAGATACATTGAAACACAATGACCACTATTCTCCCTAACAACTTTGAACTCTTGAGCAGAGGCTTCAGCTGAAGTGTGATGAGAATCTGAGAAGACTGTTGCTTCAATGATCAAGTCTTGTCTGACGCATTTACTTTTCGGGAAATCCCTAACTTTTGCCTAGGTTTCCCTTGCGGGTTTTCAACCTACCGGGAAAATTTATTTTGTTTATGTCTCTAACTTTTGCCTAGACCTCCCTTTCGGGTTTTCAGCCTACCGAGACGCTCTTTTTTTTCCTAAGCCGCCCTTTCGAGTTTTCAACTTAGTGAGTTGTTCTTTTATTTATTTTAGGCAAAGTATTTCTTGACTGCATCAATATTCATGGGACGCGGGAACTCCTCACTGTCCATAGTTTCAAGAATCATTGCACCGCTAGAGAAGGCTTTCTTGACAACATATGGGCCTTCATAATTAGGAGTCCACTTGCCCTTAGAATTAGCATTAAAAGACATGATTCTTCTGAGCACGAGGTCTCCTTCTCTAAATTCACGAGGCTTGACCTTCTTATCAAAATCTTTCTTCATTCTTTCTTGATATAACTGACCATGACACAAGGCTGTCATTCTCTTTTCTTCAATTAAATTCATCTAGTCAAACTTGTTATGGACACATTCAGCCTCTGACAACTTGGTTTCCATTATTACACACAAAGCAGGAATCTCAATCTCAATGGGGAGCACTACTTCCATACCACACACAAGAGAGGACGTGGTTTCCCCTATTCAAGTACGGACGAATGTATGATACCTATGCAAAGCAAAAGGGAGCATCTCATGCCAATCCTTATAGGTAACAACCATCTTCTAGATGATCTTCTTAATATTTTTATTAGCAGCTTCAACATCCCCATTCATCTTAGGCTTGTAAGGAGACAAATTGTGATGGACAATCTTGAATTCTTCACGAAGTTCTGTCATTATCTTATTATCCAAATTTGAGCCGTTATCATTGATAATCCTGCTTGGTACACCATACCGACATATAGATTTTTCTTGATGAAGCGTACTACTACCTGTTTGGTGACATTAGCATAGGATGTTGCTTCCATCCACTTGGTGGAGTAGTCAATTGTCACTAAGATGAAATGATATTCATTCGACACCTTATGTTCAATCATTCCAATCATATCAATACCCCATATAAAAAAAGTCCATGGGGAAGTAATAACATTGAGAAGCATTGGAGGCACATGAATCTTGTCAGCATAAATCTGACATTTATGGCACTTTTTCGCAAATTTGTAACAGTCATATTCCATTGTCAACCAATAGTATCCCTCCCTAAGCATCTTCTTTACCATCGAATGTCCATTGGCATGGGTACCAAATGAACCTTCATGGATCTTATGCATTAACATATTCGCTTCGTGTATATCCATGCATCTGAGCAAGACAATGTCATAATATCTCTTGTAGAACACATCTCCATTAAGGAAAAAGCTACCTTCCAACCTTCTCAACGTCTTCCTATCTTTGTTCGATGCACCAAACGGGTATTCTTTAGTCTGGAGGAAATGTTTGATATCATAATACCAAGGTTTTTCATCTGACGTCCTCTCTGTAGCAAACACATGAGCTGATCTATCAAGGAATCAAACTGTAATATAAGGTACATCGTTCCAAGCATTCACTTGGTACATGGAAGCCAAAGTGGCTAAAACATCTGCCATCTGATTCTCATCTCTGAGAATATGATGGAGTTTAACTTTATTGAAGAAAGGTAATAATCTTCTAGCATAATCTTTGTAGGGAACCAAGCCAATGTGGCGAGTCTCCCATTCTCCTTTTACTCTGAGATCTATAGCCTTTTGAAGACCCGTGATACAAGCTTCATACTCGCCATGTTATTGGTACAATAAAATGTAAACCTTGCAGTAAAAGGGATATGTGACGGAAAAAACTGGCTGAAAATCATCAAACAATGAAGTTGCCATAGAACTTCTTTTATCACACATGAAGGGAAAGGAGAACATCGAGAAAACCTGAGAAGGGAGAAGTCACGGTCTTGCGACCGAGAGATCGGGTAAGGTAGTATATTACGCAAGGGGACAGTTTTAGCACCCCACACGCCCGTAGTACTCTACGTATCCACTCTTGTTATCTATTTTATGGGTGTGTAAAATCCATGTCTACTGCTTACCATTGAGGAAGAATGCATGCAAAAGAAATACGGGGAAAAGAAGGAAGTGTTTACGAATTTTGCTCAGTTAGGCCCCGCGACCCGTTGCATATGTATCTCTTTCGAGGAATCAGAGCGTCGTAGTTTGGCTCACATGCTTTGTTTGTTTTGTGTTTTTTATGGGTGACGAACCCTTATGAAAATGGTTTTGACTTACGCCCTCAAGGCCAAATGCCACATTTGATTGGTTTGTGTTTTTTTACCTGGGAAAAGGGTTTAAGTATGATTAAGATGTTTTATGATTTGCCAAGAAAAAAGATTTTAGTTTTAATGCATATGCAAAAGAGAAAGAAATGCTAAGGGAAAAGTCTACCTACATTAGCATGCAAAAGACCTAAGGGTGAGGATAATTATCCTATAGGGAACATGCAAAGGGATCAAAGTCGTTATCTCAATTCTAATTGAGTGATATTATCGATCATTAGCAAAGGAAAATGATAAAGCCCTGAGGGAGCATGCAAAGATCGAAGTCGTTATCTCAATTCTAACTGAGTGACATCATCGATCGTCAACAAAGGAAAGCGATAAAATCCTAAGGGAGCATGCAAAGATAAAAGTCGTTATCTCAATTCTAATTGAGTGACATCATCGATCATCAATCAAAGAAAGCAATAAAAGCCTATGGGGGAGCATGCAAAAACTGAAGTCGTTATCTCAAAATTGATTGACATCATCAGTCGTCAAAACATGAAAGCAAACACAAGCACAATTATCAAACAATTATGGAGTACTTGCTAAAGGTCTTTAAACAACGACTTACACTCTTTATTTCCTACTTCTCATTATATCTTAGAAAAGCGATAAAGAAATGCGATAAAGTGCAGGAAAATGAAAAGGCAGTAGTGGTGACTACCAAAAGCAAGCGGATCGTCAAAAGTGGAAGAAAGAAATGGAGAAGCAAGGAGTACGCGTCGAGCAAGCTTCACCAAGAAACAAACAAAGTCAGAAACGATATCCAACTAAGATACAAACACACACATATTACGAATGCAATGCATAATCAAAAGTTCCTGCACAAAGTATCACAAAATATCACATGTATCTAGACAACATTTAATATGATAGATGAGAAATAAGGCATGTCGCATCGGAAGCGAGCATAATCCGTATGCTTCGATCACATAACAGTTGTTATGTTACATGATCGAAAACACCAAAACGTACCTTGCACAATGAATAAACGCGTCAAAAATAACAAGGCAAAACAGTGTAAATATTAACAAAAAATTAAAAGGAAAAGTATTTTTTATTAATTTTTTATGTGAGGAAAATATTATCAAAAACTAAAAAATTTATTCCTAAAATCAACTAAGAAGATCTAACAAATTTTATTGATTTTACAATTTTGTCATGGGAAAAATTAACAAAGAAAAAGTCTTAAATCTAACAAAGAAATAGAAGAATCAGGGGCATGCTACCTAAATCTAGTGTATGTTCAGAAAAATGCAAGGCTCAATCACATACAGTCCAGAAGTAAGATTTTTGATTGTTATTCTAAATTGTTATAATAAAAAGGAAATAACAAGAAAACAATTGATAAAGTAGAGTAGATTGGAGAATGATAACGTTCAGAGAGGATAAGGCAAGGGAGATTGACGATACATCTTCAAGGGCGAAATTCCTCTTCCCTCTCTCAACTCGACGACACCGCGCTTCTTCTTCTTCTTTATTCCTCGCCGTGACTTCAACACTCACAATGATGAGAGCGACATCATCACCCTCACCCACTTCCCCTCTGCGTTCGTCTTCTTTTCTCCGTTGTTTGTTGTCTAATGGTTTTCTCCTTCAATCGAACTCGCAGTGGATCCAACAAACCAAACCTCCAATGGCGTTCACTCCTAACCATCGAACCCTTATAGCTTCCACAACGGCGATCTCCGTCTTAATAGATCGTCACAAGCATGATGAAACTCTGATGAATCAAATTAGGTAAGCATGTATTTCTTTTTTTTTTGCTCTTCATCTCTTCTTATCCGATTTCGTCTTCGATTCTGCGATGCGTTTATGTGTGGTTGGTTGAAGTTGTTGTTACTGCGGATTTGATGTAATATGATTGCAGATGCGCGTTGATTATTAAAGAAGTGAAGATGTAGAAGTGTTGATGAATCGTTGCAGAACAAGATGATGAGATACAGAGCAATGTTTAAGAATTTGCAGAAGATTGAAGTGAGATTGATGAAGATTTTGATGATGGACGTTGAAGAATCGAGGAAGCTTGTGCCGAGGAATTTAGAAAGAGTTTGTTGAGAATTTTGTGGCGATTCTTCTAGAAAAATAGAGAATGATAAAGATGAAGATGAGAGAAGAGAGATTTTTTCAGATATTTTTGGTGATTCTTCTGTGAATTGAAGAATCTTGAAGGTCGAAGCAGAGAGAGAGAATGCGTAGAAGATTTAAGATATTGGTGAAGATTGGAGGAGAGAAAGTGGAGGTAATTTTCTGAGTTTTTCTTTGTGAATCTCAAATCGTCCTCTTTCACTGTGAACAAATTTCTGTTAAGTAACTACCCAAAGTTTGTTAGAGATTGAGAAAAATCAGCCCTTGGATCTGTGACAGTTGGTTATGAGATGGAGGGCAGAGATCAATTCGTTTAAGAGTTTGTTAGTGAGATGTCAAATTCTGTTACTTCAGTTTATTGCTGAGCTGGCATCGGTTATAAGTTATTTGTTTAGTGAAGGTAGTTATTATGATTTTACTGATTTTTTATTAGTGATAGTATGGTTTAAAATGGACTGGTTTTTGCAGGGTACAATTGGTACAATCATGTAGGTAACAAGCTTGCATCAGCTTTTGTGAAGCTCCTTCCGTTTTTTCTGTTTGTTGGAAGTTATGACTACTTTGTGTAATACATGATGAATTGTTTTTGCTTTGTTAACTAGAATGCAGGTTCTTATGGTCTGGACTATTTTGTTTTGAATGATCATTTGGGAACTGATGCTTTTTCTTTGGTCATTTTCTATTTAAAAGGCATGTATTGAATCTGAACAGAATAGGTGAACTAGCTTGGTCGAGTTCCCTTTAACATCGGCCTTCAAATTTACCTCTTGTCTGGTTTGGATTACATTGCCTCATGTTGAACTTTGATTGCGATCATGACCTGTCTTGACATGCTTTGATTTGTATGTGGTTTGTACAGATTTCTTTTATGTGTACACCAATGTGTGAACTGTTTGTATGTTATGCCAGATTGTTTATGATGTTTCTCTAGTTTATGAAGCTTTTGGTTATCTCATTGCAAGCTTGGATACAATAGCTTGGAACATGTGGCACAGTTGGAATTTGAATAATGACCCAAAAAATGGAGTCATGGAAGTTTTTAAGATGAAGCAAGGCTTGAAGATTTAGGACAATAGGTTTAGTGTAAAGTATAATTTGTAACTTTTGGTAGTTTCTATGTAACTCGTGTAAAGGAGATGGAAATGTGTAATGGTATTGATCATGAAATGTACATAGTAATGCTATTTTTCATTCAAAGGAAATTTGAAAGTCTTTTCCCTTCCTTTTGCACTTCAATGTTCTTCATACTTAAATACTTCCAAATGCCAAATACAAATCCAAATGAATGCATAAAATGACCGTAATGGCAAAGTACCCGTACAAAGGTCCACATGACTTGGCCTACAAAAGTCATCCTTCAAGAGTTACATTTCTAACTAATTGAGAACATATTCATGTTTGCACCTTTATGAACAAATCACATATGAAAAGCCTAAGAGTTCAAAATGGACTTTGAAATTATCCAATGCCTTCAAACTTGAAATAATTCATAAGACAACAAATGAATCTCAATCCGTGCATCAAGTCCACGATATTGTCTTGCAATGCAAATAACCAAGTGAACCAAACTTTCGATGATGATAAACAAAAGAAACCCTAGATGTGAGAAATGCGTCATATGAAAGCCATGAAACCAAACCCTTAAGATCCTTATGATAACCAATTGGCATAAGGAAGTGAATCTCTATCTCTGATTAATGAGAGTACTTGTTAAAACATAACACTAGCTCACAATATCCTTCTTTGAAGTGCTGCAAGAAACCATGTCATTATCATAACCCTAATCCACTCGCTATTGAGGCATCTGAGTGAAGATAAGAGCTTAAAGCATATAGAAACCCTAATTCCTCAATATCTTTGATCTCATGCTATGTTTTATTTATTAATGAATGCATGGTGTGTTAGATGACCTAGTGGAGGGTATGTACATGAAGGACGCGAGATGCATAAGCCAGATGATCCTTATAAAGAGGTAGGAAAATTTTAGGGTATTACAGCTTCCCTTATTTAATCGTCTTAAACCCGAAAGTACTATTGGCGCGTGCCTTTCAGACATTTGAGGTAGAAGATGATTAAATACCAATGCCAACAATTTGTTTTGAGAGAAAGTGTGAGTGTTATTTATTTTTGTGATATCTGTTGGGGAAAGAACTTTTCTGTTTTTCCGGGTGAGAAGGGTTTAAAGGGTAACTTATAACGTAGCGAAGATACTAATACAAGACAAAGATCAGACTTATAACATAGTAACAAAGGCTAATACAAGAGAAAGGTTGACTTGTAACGTAGTAACAATGCTAATACAAGGAAAGGTAATGACCTGTAACATGGCGGTGACTCCAATACAAGGAAAGCTAACGACTTGTAACATGGAGGTGACGCCAATACAAGGAAATGTAAACTTATAACGTGGCAACAATGCCAATACAAGACAAAGATTGGACTTGTAGCATGGAGGTGATGCCAATACAAGGAAAGGTAGACTCGTAACGTGGCAGCAATGTCAATACAAGACAAAGATTGGACTTGTAACGTGGTGGTGATACCAATATAAGGAAAGGTAGACTCGTAATGTGGCAACAATGCCAATACAAGACAAAGATTGGACTTGTAACGTGGCGGTGATGCCAATATAAGGAAAGGTAGACTCGTAACGTGGTAACAATGCAAATACAAGACAAAGATTTGACCAACTTATTCTTGCTTACTAGGACGCCCTTGGATCCATGGGGAAAGCGCTGTTACTTCAACCCTACACCAAAAGACTGAAGTATCCCGTGCAGGGAAAGATTGTTACTATTTGTGGCGAAGAGGAGTATATGGTGAGTCACTTGAACTCATTCTGGTATGTAGAGATGGACGGCGAATTCATCCAGACTCACTGTCATACTTTTGAAGTAATCCCTCATACCACTACTGAAGATGTTTCTACTATTCCCAAAGTTACCAGGGTTCTGCCCAGAATGGCTTTGTTGAAGGATGCTAAAGCTGTTGTAGAAGAAGGTGGTTGTACTATTTGGGGTTAGCTTTCTGACATTCCGTATAAATCTGAAATATTTGGTTTGGGTTTCAGTGCAGAGGGTCGGAGGGTTGTTTGTCACGCTCGTGCTGGAAGACCACCATTCCGCATTAGCAACAATGGAGTCAACACCATAGAAGATGCTGACAGCGACTATGACCTTGACAGTTGGATCTTTCCCACCATCGGCAACTGGCTCAGCAAATGGAAGACCGAAGACATTATCTCAATCTCCTTTAGTCAAGAGTAATAGCTACTTTCTGTTTTATTTCTTACAAAGTTTTGGTTATGTAATTTATTTAAACAACGACTTTAAGCCTTGTGCCTTACCCGGGACACAATGTTCCATTTGTTAAGGGCTGTCATTTCATAAACATATCTTCATTTAATAAAGCATTGGACATTTTACATCCAAATTTTATGCTCTCTGTCTTTCTTTTTTACTTTTATTATTTTTCAAATAGCTATGCGTTCTTACACACACCCATACGATAAATTGCAGATCCACATCCACTCTGGATCCCGTTGATAACGACTCTACTATTACCACTTATGACTTTGAAAATTTGATCTACCAAGCTGTGGATGAAGGTGAGGAAGATTCTGAAATACCTGGAGAACTTGCCAGACTGTTAATGCAAGAGAAAAAGGTTATACAACCGCATGAAGAGCCGGTCGAGGTTGTAAACTTGGATACTGAAGTAGACAGAAAAGAAGTAAAGATAGGGAATAATCTAGAGGGCAGTATCAAAAACAGGTTAATTAATATGTTGTATGACTATGTTGAGATCTTTGCTTAGTCATACGAAGACATGTCAGGGCTAGATACTGATATTGTGGTTCACCGTCTGCCGATGAAAGAGGGTTGTTCTCTAATAAAGAAAAAAGTCCATCGCATGCGTCCCGAGATGTCAGAGAAGATCAAAGCTGAGGTTATGAAACAATTCAATATAGGTTTCTTAGCAGTCACATCATATCCTTAATGGGTTGCAAATGTGCTAAGAAAGATGGCAAAATACGTATGTGTGTATATTAGGGTTCTGAACAGGGCAAGCCCTAAGGATGACTTCCCACTTCCATATATCGATGTTCTGGTTGATAACATTGCTCAGCATAAGGTATTCTCCTTCATGGACGCTTTCTCGGGTTATAATCAGATCAAGATGGAACATGAAGACATGGAGAAAATAACCTTCATCACACAGTGGGGAACTTTCTGTTACAAGGTTATGCCTTTTGGGTTGAAGAACGTCGGTGCCATATATCAGCGTGTCATAGTAGCTTTATTCCATGACATGATCCATTACGAGATAGAGGTCTACGTCAATGACATGATAGCCAGATCCCAGACTGAAGAAGAACATTTGTACCATTTACACAAGCTGTTTGAAAGGTTGAAGAAATACAAGCTGAGGTTGAATCCGAACAAGTGCACCTTTAGGGTGAGGTCCAGTAAACTACTAGGTTTTGTTGTTAGCGATAAAGGTATCTAAGTTTATCCCGCCAAGGTCGTAGCTATTCAAGAAATCAATGCTCCCCATACTGAGAAGGAAGTCAAAGGTTTATTGAGACAACTGAATTACATTGCTCAATTCATTCTCATTTGACTGCTACTTGTGAGGCAATCTTCAAGCTGCTGAAAAAAGATCAGGTAGTAAAGTGGAACAACGACTGTCAGATAGCCTTTGACAAGATCAAGGATTACCTATAAGAACCTCTAATTCTGATGCCACCAGTTCAAGAAATCCCTCTGATTATGTTCCTAACAATGTTAGAGAACTCAATGGGGTGTGTACTGGGCCACATGACGAGTCTGGTCGAAAAGAGCATGCAATATACTACCTTAGTAAAAAGTTTACTGACTATGAAACATGATACTCACTGCTCGAGAAAACTTATTGCGCTTTGGCATGGGCTTCTCACCGACTAAGATAATATATGTTGACTCATGCTACTTTGTTGATCTCTAAAATGGATCCCATTAAATACATATTCGAGAATCCAGCTCTCTCGGGAAGGGTAGCCAGATGGAAAATGGTCTTGACAGAATACGATATTCATTACACTAACTCAGAAAGAAATCAAAGGAAGTGTATTGGCAAATCACTTGGCACATCAAGCTGTAGGCGACTACCAGTCTATGAATTCCGAGTTCCCGGACAAGAATATTATGCTAGTCACAGATTGTGAAGAACCTGGACCGTATGAAGGACCTAATCTAGGATCCCGATGGACTATGGTTTTCGATGGAGCTTCTAATGCACTTGGCAATAGAATCGGTGTTGTAATTATATATCCCCAGGGTTATCGTACGCCCTTCACCGCCATATTATGTTTTAATTGTACCAAGAACATGGCTGAATAAAAAGCGTGCATCATGGGTATTAAAGCTGCCATTGACCTGAGAATCAAGTTCTTGAGCGTATATGGGGACTCAACCCTAGTAATCAGTAAGATCAAGGGAGAATGAGATATG